TTCGAATCGCCACGCACTTCGCCGCACAATTTGCCGCGCGCATCCTCGGACGCACGTATGTAACCATACCCTAGCCGGCTAGCACAACACGTTGTACGTGTGAGTGCTGATAAGCTGTGGCATATAAGCCATTAAAGGCGAGGGCATACGGGATCTCGGTGGTGTAAGGGATAGAGCACGGTGCCCGGAAAGCACGAGTACGGGTCCGAGTCCCTCCGAGACCGGAGTTTTATCCATTAATCGCCAACTCTGTGATACATCCGAAACACTCCTTCTCATCCCACTTCTGCTTAAAGATATGAACCATACAGCTATTCATCCACACATCTGAACTTCTTCCTTCTGCAATTATAGTCCGAGTGAGCCACCTCTTGCCGTGCGGTGTTGTCGACCTTTTCTGCCGTGTTAAGCTGTCCACGGCTGCTTTGGCCTTGTAACGTCCATGGATAGCTTGGTTTTCTTGAACTGATTCTTTTGATATTGCTCGTATGCTAGTGTTATTCAGTTGAACAATCCAATGTTCGAAGTACCACTTCGAACTGACCTTCTTGGCCGAGATCGTTTATCATTCAGAAGCCCCCGTATACTTGAGCGTTCAACAGAAAGCTTTACAAAGCCACTCTCTGGTGACTTTATCCTAGCTTCACCACGGACCATCTTGGCGATCTTAATTGTGTTGATGGTTCAGTGTTTTTTGGAGCTCCGATGACAACGGAGTAATCTTTCACAATAAAATGGTAAGGGTGGTGGTAACAACGGAAATAACACAGAGTTTCAGTAAATGATGCTCAGTAAGGAAGGTAACCTACGTCTTGCCCTTGACGTGTTAGAGGAAGAAGTGCGGACCTAATTACCTTGGGTCAGCTTGATCTTGCACCATCTAGGGGTGTGGGTTGAGTTAGGGAGTTGTATCAGACGGTGAGACGACGAGATAATGATAGGGGATTGTCGCCGTCGACGATGATATCATTGGTGCATGTTGTTACTGGGCTTCTCCATCGGCAGTTCAACAGGGCGGCTCGATGTGCGCTCCCAACACTCCTAAAGCAAGGAGGAAGAAAAAACGTACACGACAGGTTACGACTTAAACGCTGCATTTAACTTGACCTACCTTGTAGGAGAACATGGAGTACTTCCCACTTCCAATTCTAGAATTCGGGTGAAGGCACCGCAAGCGAATCACCATCGTGGCGCTCGACGCAGATTTCCCACTTTAAAGGAGTGGACCATTGACTCGACGATTGGACTCGCAACGATTTCTACTGTACCCCTGACTGAGTTGCTCAGCTTCGTACACACTTCTATGTCGTCATTGTGCTTGCAAGGGTTGTTGAGAATAACGCCGCAAGATCTTATCGCCCTGGTGACATTAGAAGCGTTCTGGGTTGGCAGTAGTGGGAATGCCAAAACGAGCGCGTCTGTACGCTCAACATGCGCCATTCATGGTACTGCCCAATCGATATCTATCTAAGCCATAAGATTTGAGTCCACGCATATTTGCAGAATGTGGCTTGATCTGTAACCCATATCAATTTGTGGTATTGTCCCAATCATCTCTCTTTATTTATTGGCGAGGCTTCCCAATTTGATTTTTCGTTCTCGCTCGCTTTTTGTCCTAACCCGTGGGCAGTCATGTAGCGAGCGTTCGAATCTTTTCCTCGGGAAAATCTCCCATTTTTGTCTTTTGAAGACAGGAGACTGACTGCCTTGGGAATTACCACCCTGCTTCCCACTGGTTCCCAACCATGATTATCCACAGGCGTCGTTGGTGCCGAATATTCGAGCCTTTGCGAAGACGTGGCCAAGCTTTTGCGTTACATCACTGGGTTCTTTGAATTTTTTTCGTCTTCACTTTTACACCTCATGTAATCTGGGTGAGTATTGATTGACTGCACAGATGTCTTGTATCGTAACGTATCTGGGTACATTTTGAACTTTAGTTTGTTTCGTACTTATGCAGTCAACACAGGCTTTTTATTTGATATACTGTAGCGCTCAAAAGTCTTCGGCCAAACGCTTTTTTGTTCGTTACTTTTTTCTTAGTGGAGCAAATCGCGTGAAATTTTGATATGTTTAACTGAAGCATACTTCACATTATCCAACATTATTTGACTGCAAAGCAGCAATATCCACATAACTAAGAGCAGAGTCTTTTTGTGGTAGCAANCTGTCCACTGTCAGTGTCCTTCCTACGGCTGCTTTGGCCTTGTAACGTCCATGGATAGCTTGNAAAATCTACCATTTTTGTCTTTTGAAGACAGGAGACTGACTGCCTTGGGAATTACCACCCTGCTTCCCACTGGTTCCCAACCATGATTATCCACAGGCGTCGTTGGTGCCGAATATTCGAGCCTTTGCGAAGACGTGGCCAAGCTTTTGCGTTACATCACTGGGTTCTTTGAATTTTTTTCGTCTTCACTTTTACACCTCATGTAATCTGGGTGAGTATTGATTGACTGCACAGATGTCTTGTATCGTAACGTATCTGGGTACATTTTGAACTTTAGTTTGTTTCGTACTTATGCAGTCAACACAGGCTTTTTATTTGATATACTGTAGCGCTCAAAAGTCTTCGGCCAAACGCTTTTTTGTTCGTTACTTTTTTCTTAGTGGAGCAAATCGCGTGAAATTTTGATATGTTTAACTGAAGCATACTTCACATTATCCAACATTATTTGACTGCAAAGCAGCAATATCCACATAACTAAGAGCAGAGTCTTTTTGTGGTAGCAAACTTGGCTGAAAGCAAGGTTGGTGACGTCTGCAATTATTCGCACCTTCTGTGTGTTTTTCTTCTTCACTATGTTCGGCATTAGCGCTCGTCCAGAAGTAACAATGTCCGTGTTTCCAGTTGATTTTGAGTTCAAGTTCTTTGGAGCATGGTCAGATTGTAGGGTAGTGGTCAATATTCACAATATACCCACGCTATACATATTGAAATTTCGCACGATTAGATCCAATGGGATAGTTACGAATGAAAAGTACGACTAATAAAGCATTTGGCCGAAGACTTTTGAGCGCTACCACCGAATGGCGCAGTTTGAAACTAGCAGTTGTGTGCTGGAGCCCTCCAGGAACCTCACTGATTTCTCATAGTCGTTAGTTGGCGTCTATAGTGTATCCTTAATACAGCACAAGCGCAGCCTTCTGTCATAACACCCCATTATTTCCCAATATCTTTCTTAGAGCCGGCCGTATTTAGGTGGACAATTTTAGACTGCCTGCTTATTATCTGACAAATATGGCGTGCACCTTCTATAGGGTGAGTAATTTGCATTTATAGTTTCTAGGTTTCTAAGAAAAGTTACACAGTAAATGTAATCTTTCCATCACTTTTATTTAAATGACTTTTTTGGTCCTACAGGAGATTCCCTCATTCGAACTTCGTTTTGCTTGCAATTTCAAAGGTTGCCTCGATGACCGTCCCATGAGTATGATGGGAGCTATTGAACACCAGGCGTTCCATTTTTGTGAAGTTTACAAGTTCGTTTATTACATCTCACCATTATCGCTAGCTGTGGGCCCTATTTTATTGGGTACAGAGTTTTTAGTGCCTGAACTTTCTAACAGTAGACTGAGTGACAGTAAAGAGTTTTTCTTTCTTTCATGGGGAGAGCTGGTGAATTCTAATTTCAGAACACAAGCCCATTTCAACTTCAAATGTGAGTACTGTAATGTATATCACGTAAATAAGAGCCATCATCGCCTCTGTTTGGACGACAAAAGCGGAATTGGTCATCTGCCTGTAAGTTTCAGGTTGTCTTGAATGTTAAGGATGTTGATCAAGGATGTTCAGCATTTGCGTTCAATTTACACGGTACCAATGTCTGATCAAGAATTTCACAGCTGCGTGGACTTTAGCCGCTTCGCAAACCATCACATGATCCCCATGACAGGTGAAAATTAGGCTGTGATTGTCTCTCGCACCTCTTCTATTTCTTTCATATCTCATCGAAGTTCCCATTTCGTTTGGTTTCAGCTGAAGGGATTCGGCTAGTTCCTGCTGATTCTAGTTTTCCCCCACCACAGGCTCCATACAATTTCAGCTCGTCATTGCCTGGTAAATAAGTCTTCTTCGAAATGTTCCTCAGTTTTTCTTTCCTTTGTTAGAGACTAGATATCCTTACTCAGGTCGCGGTATCGATGCTACTCCCGCTTATAACAACAGAAATTCCAACGTCTCTTACCGTGATCTCGGCAAGCGCAATTGCTATGGTTTACATGAAAATTATCCATCCTTTTTCGTATATTTGTTTAAGAATTGCAGATAATTGCGACGAACACACGAGTCCGGATAAATTTGGACGATCAGGGGGATTCCAAGGTTTTTTCGAGTCATAGACTCACTTCTTTTCACTAAAACTATCACCATTTCAGATCAATCTAATAATCGCGATAGTCGAGGGCGTGGGCGTGGAGGTTCTCGTGGGAGAGGAGAACGTGGATTCAGTCGTGGTCGTGGGCGTGGCGGTGGAAATCGAGGTAATAAACTTTCGAGGGAGTATTTAGCACTACGTGATTAGATAATGCATTGCAGCTATGCAATTATGTATCTTCATTTCGCTTATTTGAGTAGTTCATGGCTTCAGACAACGATAATGGGCGTGAAAATACTTTCCGAGGCCGTGGACGTGGTAGAGGAGGTAATCACCGAGACGATGGAAATAATTCCTACCGTGCAAGGAGCTCTTTCGGTAAACTCGGTTGCTTGTATTGATTTACACTTTTTTGTACATTCTACCACTTAGGTGACAGTACGCCTGGTACGGATTGGAAGCCTAAAAGAGAACGTTCCTACTCACGTTCAACTAGTCGCAGCCCATGTTCACCGCTGGCGAAGAAAGGCCATACAGGTCCCTTATTTGTATGCGCGATGACTTCGCGGTTTGAAGGAGGATATTCGTTAAGGGGCATTTCATACGATTATTAAAAGTTCTTCAGGTAACAAAACACAGCAACGCTCCTATTCTCGATCAAGAAGTAACAGTCCTGCAAAGAAGCCACCCAGAGGTTCGTTTTTACTCGAAAATATAATGTTTGAAACAAAACAATGAGTGGTTGGCACTTTTGATCTTTTTTTGAGCGAGCTAGGCGACAGAGTATCTAATTAAGGTAGTGGCCCATCTGGCCCTGTCTCTAGACCCTGTTCCTACTCTCGATCGAGAAGTAGTAGCCCACCCAGTGCAGCTCCAGGAGTTCAGAAGAGTGGTGGGTTGTCACACCATTTTGCTTTCTGTAAAATGTGGACGGCTGTGGCATGAGAAGAAATTCAGGCAAAAAGCCAAGAACTTCTTGTTCATACTCCCGATCCAGGAGCAGTAGCCCAAGCAACCCAACTGCTGAGAGCTCGAATATCGGTGTGTTTCATAAGTTATTTGGTTTCATGAGTCCAGTAGCAGTGCAATTGTTCTGAAATCGAGCGCCGTTGAAATATCCTTTTCGAGAAGGCCTAAGGCCTATGGACTCTTCACCTCGATCGTCCTCGTCCAAAAACAATCCGTCGACGTCGGGATTTGCTAGCTCAAGTACAGGTACGCGCCATCAGGCTTTTTTTCGAAATCATTTCCCCTTCCTCGGTTTTTAATGTAAACATTTAAATTAATTCTTGAGATTTCAATCGATTGAATGATTAATTATGCTCTTACTATTAGCACATGAATTGCGTTTTGTTTTGAGCTGGCAAGTCGAGGAAGCGTAGGAGCGATTGTTCGTACTCACGCTCGGGAAGCAGAAGCCCACCTATCACCACCCCAACGAGGAATACTCAAGAAGGTAAGTGTTACGTTATTTTAGTGAAGTGAATTTTCAATGTGATGTTGTCTTTATTTTGATTGGTTCCATTTGTATACATACATATGTTCGAGAACATCATAGTCTTCGAATATCATTTAGAAAGAGTCTCAAAGAGGCGGTCATCGAAGTCGTACTCTCGAAGTGGTAGCCGTAGTCGTAGTCCTCCACCAAATGATCTCAACAATAATGATCCTCCTAATACGCGTGAAAACAGAACATATGAAAACGGTAGTCGAAGAAGTGTCTACGATACCGAACCAGGTAGTTCATTTGATATCATATTTTTGGGCGGTTTTACCTTAATATTGCCGAATTCTAACTTATAGTATTGTATGGAGCGCAATATGAAAGCTCGTGGTAATTGCCTTACAGTGGCGCTCAAAAGTCTTCGGTGAAATGCTTTGATGCTTTTTCGTTCATAACTTTTTTCTTAGTGGACCAATTCGCGCAAAATTTGGAGATGTTTAACTAGAGCATATTTCACTCTACCCAACACTATTTGACTGCAATGCTGCAATATCCACAGATAGAGCAGGGTGTTTGTTGCGGTAGCAGATTTTGCTAAAAGTAAACTTGTTGAAGTCTGCACTTATTCACATCTTATGTGCGTTTTTCTCTTCAATTGTGTTCGGCATTACCGCTCGTACACTTTTGACATGACAAAAAGGAAAGAGATTCTAGAAGGGCCATCATCTGTATTTTCAGTCGATTTTGAGTTCAAGCCCTTTGGGATATTTGGAATATGATCAGATTGCAGTTTATTAGTGGTAAATATTTACAATACACCCACGCTCAAAATATAAAAATTTTGCATGATTAGATCCAGTAGGAAAGGAGTTACGACTGAAAGTACGGCTGAAGAACCATTTCACCGAAGACTTTTGAGCGCTACTGTATATACCAGCTCGCTGGTTTTCCATNCACCCACGCTCAAAATATAAAAATTTTGCATGATTAGATCCAGTAGGAAAGGAGTTACGACTGAAAGTACGGCTGAAGAACCATTTCACCGAAGACTTTTGAGCGCTACTGTATATACCAGCTCGCTGGTTTTCCATAAATAGGACGTGTTACTCTTATTGTTGACCTCGTTGTCCATTGATCAAATGAATCTACCAGCCGAAAAAATCTTTGCATTGGGGTGTAGCTAAGATATTTGCAACTGTTTTGGGAAAGCTTGAGTAACGTCACACTGAATACATTCAGTTTACTTATTTTGACTTATCCATGTCAAACTAATCAATGAGGGTTTTCATGAGTAGCGCTATTTCAGAGAACTACATGAATACTGGATACGGATCTGGTCGTCAGGCAATGAGAGGTAAATTATGAATTATCGTTTCATTTTGCCGCCGCAATGACTACTTTTAACGCTTTTCTTAAATTCCAGTAATCTGAACTGATGGTGTGTTCTGCTAGCAAATCAATGAATCAAATTGTAGAATTGAAGTGTTCATTGTTTCAGGTCATCAACAAAGTAATTCCGACCGCTCATTCAGACAGTCTAATGGTAGCGTGACTGGTGAGCTACATTTTTTCAAAAGCAAAAATGCACATAATAAAAGTATTTTACCATTGTTTCTTTGATTGGATGTTTGTTTAGGGTTACAAAAGAGCAACAGAGCATCTTTCGAGAAGGTCAGTATTATCATGACAGTTCCACTTTGATTTTCTTAATACTTCCATTGTTTTCTTTTCCAGAAACGTGATCGTATGACCGACAGCGATCACGTGGAAGCTTCACAAGGAGTCAAACGAGGAGCAAGGTACGTTCGAATGATTAGCTTCTGTTCCTGAGGTCGCTTCACTTACAAAGGGCATTTTTTCTGTGACGTTGTTGGAAAGTTTGGTAGCTTTTCTCGGCAGCATGTGAATTTTTGTTTGCTAATTATTGCCAGTCACGGCAGCTGGGTTTCAGTGGGCTTTAGGTGTGAGCGCAGATTTTCTATATGACGTATTGCGGAACAAATCCTAGCTTGCCGCGACATCATCTTCTCTTTACAAGCGGCTTTAACGATATTTCGGCATCTTGTCTGTCTCTCATGATGTAGCAAGTTTTTTGGCGTTCAATTCCGTTTTAGAATGCGCTCTGTATAAGGGATTAAAATTCGGGTCAAATATACACATGTACGTACACACACATACATACACACATGTATACACATAAAACACATGCTAGTTGAAAAGAGAGCATTGGTCTGGGTAGGAAGTATTTCATAAAACGCTTCGACTGATTTAGGCCAACGCAACGTGACTGTTCATACTCGAAATCCAGGTCGTGCTCTCCTTGAATTCTTGCTGCTTCCAGTATTTTTACTTTGGACTTTGTCAGGCAGTGGTCCTCGCGAGGTTTTTTTTACCAGCATGAAGTTTTTTTTTNTTTTTTTTGACTTATCATTTCTTTAACGCTGTGGTTGAAGTGTTGGCATGAGCAGGACAAAGGAATTTGCCGATTTTGGCTCCTCAAGCATTTTGTCATGCAATTAACGCTCCACTCTTTTGAACTCATTCATAGAGCATGCGTTTTTCATCAATGTGATGCCAAATTGGACGTGGCGCGTTATATGAATCGGTTATAACTATTTCCAATCTGTGTTATTCAAAATGTTCTCTATAGCCACTTACTCTACCTCTGTAAACAGTAACTGGGGAGCCCCACGCCTCAGAGTACAGGATGGCCATTGGCATTTTGAAAACGCAGGCGAGAATCATTTACCTGCTCCTCGCTCACTTCATTCGGAAATTCGTCTTCAGCGTGGAAGGAATGAGAATTATTGTTCTTTATATGTATATAGTTTCGATTTTTATGTCGCAGTTCTCAGAGGTATACCTAGGTTTTTTTTAAGAATCCTTTTCTATTAGGTTTGTAACCTCCGCCATTTCTATACAGAAGTACTTTTAGTTCTCATCTAATAAATAGTTCTTTTCATATATCATACAAATACAATTACAATTCTGTACTACAAACTGCCGAATTAGCCAGCGAGCGTGCGTTTATAACCGTGAGTGGATGACATTAGAAGAGGGTGGCACTGCTGGTGGAACGGTTGCTTCATCTGACGCAATGGTTTTGGAAACAATCTGGAAAAGATTAGTAAGCTTCATATTTTGTAATTTTATAAATTTAACTGAACGACTTTGCTCACCGATATGGCCACCTTTTTACTGCCGTCAGCGGCACTGACCCTTCGCCTAGACGTTATTCTCTGGAAAAAACGAATATCTCGGGAATTGTCCGCCTTAGTTTTGACAGTCTTTTAAGACCTTTGAGGTACATTATACTTATGATGTCGTGTGCTGGCAATCCGGTTTACAAGTGAACTCCGTAAACAAACCTCTTGGATACAGTATCCGATCCAAAGTAATGCGGACATGCCGAAAACTGTGATCAGGAAAATTCTGTGAGGTCCAGCACCAATCTTATCCAGGATCAAGAAGGCATAGAACGTCAGTACCCCTATACAGCGAGAAATCTCCAATGACGGTGCGTACCACCTAAATTCATGGAGAATCCGTAGCTAGGCGATGCCTACGACATGAAGACACCTTACTTTGACACTACGCTACGCTCACATTCACACAATGCCTCGATGACCATACCTCTTATCGAAGAATGCGCCAAAAGTCTGCATTGTGACTAGGAAAAATGCGATTTTCAAAGTGAAATTGATATAGTCCAAATTATTTCGATCATATTCGAAGTGCAGAAATATCGCCAATAGCAGTGTGAAGTGTCCGATTATGTAGAGCTTCAACCAGATTTCCAACGGAGGGTTGTATCTGACAACGGGCTTTTCAGGCTGAAATACAGTACATACTTACACGCAATAATTGCGTATGAGATAACCCCGACTTACCTCAGGAACCCCATGTGCCGTGTCAACAAGGCTCATCCAGTGAAAGAAGCGTCGCACAGGAACTCCTGGGTACCATCCAGGAGGATAGAGTGCTGCTTTAACCTGGCGGAAAAGAAGAGTTGGATTCAGGGCGTGGTCGGAACTGTGTCTAGGTCAGGCCGGACGACAGATACATCCTACTCGTAAGGACACCGCTCCGTGGGAAATCAATCCCCTTATCCGATTCTCTACAGTACCCACCACAAAAATTCGAAAAAAAACGAAGGAAGAACACGACACGAACAAAAAACTGCCAAGAAGATGCTGAAAGAGCAGCGCAAGAGCGTCTGAAATGGGCATCCACTGTGACTTTTACAGTATCACATCAAATAACGTTCAGAAAATATTACAGAGTTTATATATTAAGCGAATAAAAGTCTCCAAAGTCTTTTTGACGTTAATCAATCCCTTCCGAAGAATGCGCCCGCACTCGACTTGAATTCAGAATGCTAGCTGCATATTGAATGCGTCTGTGGCCCATGCAATGGCTTACGGTGACCAGCCGATATACAAGTCAGTGTTTTGTCCTCTCAGAGGAGGCTGGTACTAATTAGGCAACCCCGGAGGGAAGGAAGGTTTGGTCGGTCCAGGCGGATATCAATACAGAATTCGAACTCGTGACAGGCGTCTGTGGTAGTGCGCTCCTTGCCTTTAAACCATTTCCTTCCTGTTAAACAAAATAATGGTAGTAAATAGTCAAAACAATTGTACCTTGTTGAGAATTCCTGGGAACATCGGTTCGCCTTTCTCATTCTTCATTTGTCCCTTGAAAATAAGCATATCCCATAGTACATGTAACTAAATAAACATTGTTTTTAGTCGTTTTTGAATAGTTTTTTTTT